CAAATAATTCCAGCGTCGTAAAATCGCGTCAAGTGGGCTTTACCCCTCTTGAGGCCCCATTCAAATATATGTATACAGATTCCTTTTCAGAATATTTACGATCTCTATATCCCTCCATAAAATGCATTCATAAAACATTTACGTACCTTATGTTGTTTGATGTACACATATGTTTTATACGTATCCATATCAAACTAAACCAGCTTTATATACTAATGTTTTATGTTTTTTGTGAATTAAATCATATGAAAAGATTCAAATGTTTCATAACAAATTTGTTTATGTAATGAAGAGAACACAAATTCTATACCTTACTTGTATAGAATCCAGTTAGACTACAAGTTTTACGTTAGAAATACTAGTAGTATTCAACAAAACCATCCGACAAAAACAAGGCATGTAACACACGAACAAAAAAGTAATTCTTAATTTTCCTTTAAAGTGTTATTTTTGTTTAAAGCACAAAAATCCTGCTAAGGACTTCTAAAAGTATCACGCTCCAGGCATTAAAATATTCTGATCTTTTGTTCGAAATGAGGCGTCATTATCTACGCCCGGCTTTGATCTTATAAAGATTTGAAAGATTCAGGACAGGAACAAGTCAATTACGAGCAACCACAATTTTTTTGTAACTAGGTCACGTTTCTCACAGATTGCCAGGACTGAGGTCTCAACTATAACTTAATTACAAACGGCCTATACATTCCTTTAGAGCCTCTCGCTTGCAAGTTTCAAGACAAAGCTCTCATGTAAGATACAAACACTTTTCCTTGTACGTAGGTATTGTTCCCACAGAGTCTTTGTAAAAACAATCTTTGAACAGAATCTACCTTTTTATCCATACTATTAGAATGTCACTAATTTGATCTTTACAAGTTTTCTCACTAATACGTGATCACTTTCCCTCTATTTTAATTGTGTTCGTAATACTTACTAAAAAAATGCGAAACTTGAAATGAATGGATCGATGTTTGTTTGAAGGTATCTCCGGAACGGCTGAACGGATGTTGATTAAATTTGGCACAGATGTAAAACATAGTCTGAGAGAACAGATATGCTACTGATTATGTATTTATTTAATTCCGTGCAGACGGAGTCGGGCGACAGTTAGTTTTGAATATTCATCGAAAAATTATCTCAACAATAACACATGACGGAACTTGATTGACTATATTATTGATATAAAAATTAATGCTTAATCCTAGCAGGTCATATCGTTTTCATAATAGCATTATCATAAATTAATTCTTTTATGATTTGTGACACGACAATCAATTAGTAATGGCGGACTTACTGTGGAATAATGTTTCAATTAAATTTCGACATTCATGTTCCACTCGATTTTTATTGCTCCGATTATAATCACGAGATTGCATTGAATTATTAATTAATATAACTTTAATAATTTCCCGTGTCTAGGAATGACAGCGCCTGTGATGCGATTTACATGATTTTAACATGCATGTACAATTTGAACCACAGATTACGTTTGACTGGAATTGGGCGACAAATCGCTTATTGGAATTGGGGTCTAAATAAGATGAATTATAGTAAAAAATATTATGAATTACTAATATTATAAATGCGAAAATTTAGATGGATGGATGTATGGATGGATGTTTCTTAGTCAGAAGGTATTTCCAGAACGGTTAAGGGGATTCTGAAATTTGACACAGATGTAGAAAATAGTCTGGAAGAACACATAATCTGCAGACGGAGTTGCGGGAGGCACCTAGTTCTTAATAAAGAAAATTTAAGAATTCATATTAAGGAAAACGTATAAATATAAAATATGTATCACGATAAAAATTCCATGTCAGAAATTTATTTTCATAATTTCTAACATGATTTTTTTTCGTGTACATTTTTCGCAGGTGTCGAGCGATACTTTTACATTACCATTTGACTATGAAATGTCAATTTGCATTCTTTATTAAGTAATTTTATGGTAAATTACAAACGAATGTTTATAACAGCATATCGAAGAATTTAATTGAATTATTTATTTACTTGCTTAAACTTAATAAAAGATTTTTTTTTTCTTTGAGCATAAAATATATTTTACAAGAACAACCTTGCGTTAACTATTAAAAATATAGTACAATGTTAGCGCAGTATATAATTTTCTATTACATGCTAGCCACTTAAAAAGTTTTCGCTTCATAGAAGTAAGAATGCAGCTTTGTCCGTGTAGTAAATAATTTTCAGTGCGGCGGCGCGGCGTTGTAGCGAACGAGAAATTAAATAAGTAACTTTTACCGTACTCTGACGAATTTTCCATTTTGTGTGGCGTTTGAATTCGTCTCGTGTCTTCAATATTTATACATTTATTTTATCATTTATTAATTATTATACTCCTACTTACGATAGTAGTGGCTCATTTTCAAAAGAAAGTAAATATTCTTAGCTTGTTTAAAAAATTGATGTTTTCACTTAATTACTTTTTTTTGGTTCGCTGTAAATAATTAAATCACGGTAAAATTAAAAAAAAATATACAAAATATAATGATAGAAGAAGAAAATAAATTGGCAAGCCACGACACCGATGAAACAACATTGTGTTAAAAACGAAGAATGCCAAGAATGAAGACATATTCTTCCGTGTTTATGTTTTACACAGTGCTTTATTGTACTCGAAATAGCCATTCGTCCCGAAGTGTTCGATCACGCGCGTACTGTAAGCTAATAATAGTTTTATCACTTGGCAGATGTCTTGGCGAATCCGATGTTTCGCGCACACCTCGCCGGCGCGCGAAATTGTCGCGCTCCACCATTTATTTTTGGCCTCTAGGGCTGCCAACGGCGATCGGTCAGCGAGCGCTGCGCTGTTTGCTGACGCGTGTTCTATATTGTCGATTGACTGCATGCTTTATAACAGACATTTTATGGTGTACTTAGCGCACAGATTACTTACAATGCTACATCTGCCGGCGCGGCTATTGTTTTTAGCGGAAACTACCGTCTGATTCACGCTGATGCTTTTACGATTCTCGTGTGTTTCAGGAGTTAATGTTTTAATTTCAATTGCTTTCTGTTTTAATGATTATGTTAATCGGGTAATTTTCATTTCATTTCATGTGCGTGTACTTTTAAACGAAAACAAAACAATTAATTTACTTTGCAATCGTTCTTTATGCTGCAAACCTTTAAGAGGCTTTGTAAATATAAAGATTAGGGATTATTAAAGGTTAATAATGTATCGAATTACTCTGCATTGTTTTCTACTTCAATGAAACATAAGTTGAGTACGGCCTTACACATAAACCAGACGTTAAGTAATATTGCGGAACAAAATACTTTTCATACAAGTTTTTTACTGCAGATATTTTGTTCAATCCAAACATAAATTCAAATCGCACTCATTATTGTTTTTTTTTATAAAATTTATCTTAAAAATTACAAAACAAAAATTTATGCGTCGATAGTAGTATATTGAATAATAACTTAATAAAAGAAATGTTACAACACAGGATATTAATATATATTATTGTTAATTCCAGTGGTTTCTTTTGTTGTGATAGGCGTGATATGTGTTAGTCGTCCATTACAATGTACGAAGAAATTATTTATTATCACACTTATGAAACTTTTCCCATGATATTACCTTGTGCTGTAATTAATGACAGTACATTTTATAAACGACACTAAGGTGGACGATATTTTTATATTATTAAATAAACGGTTGTATCTTTTGATTGCGTTGGCTTAAAATTTTATTTTACCGCAACACCAAGGGACAGCAGACCTGAGTATTTGGTATAAATTTCAGCTTGATACCTTCACGTGTTCCTGAGAAAAACGGTGTTGACAGACAGACGGACAACAAAGTGATCCTATAAGGGTTTCATTTTTTTACTTTCGAGGTACGGAATCCTAAAAAGATTGTGTGTGATTAAAGAAAAAATTTACAAACTACACGGTAAAAATTTGATTGAGATTAAAATCGATTTTTGATTTAAAAAAGGGTCATATTAGATTTTTTTCCCAGATTAATGTTATTCCAGAAAACCTTTTATATTATTAGGTATATTTCTTTATGAAGACTATATATAAAAGGTAATCTTTGTCAAATTTGGTCAGTATTCTGAGCAGTCCTTTCCTTTGGTTAAATATAATCTACGAATTCGGTAAAAAGGTAATGCGGCGCACATAAAAATTAGATTTGTGGATTCCTCATGTCCCCAAGACTCCGTTATCTGGCCAAATTGGGTACACAATAAAGAGGATAAAATATGTGAGTTCACGAAAACAGAATTAATGTTCGTACCTACATCGTCGTTGTAGGTAACATGTGTCGGAAAGAAATGTTTGCACGGAGCTAATTTCTTGAAAATCACTAAATAAAAGTATTTTTATTTTATATTCTATTTTTGGTAATTATCGAATAGTAACAGAAAAAAAACATATTATTATTTTTTTAATTACTATTGCTATAATACGAAAGTTTAATTAATTGGAATAATAAAGGAGTAGTGTTCAAACAATGCGTTTCACTCCACGGCGAAGTGATATCTTGTCCCTACAAAGAAGACCTTAACTTCCACGTAATAATGAACGTAGTAACGTATTTGTGATTCACATGCTTAGGACATAGAACCGCATTGTTGTGGTCGCTAACCAAGAGGTCAACGCCTTTTGCTTCTTTATGTTAATCATGTTGTTAAATAGCATAACAAGGATATATTAGTAGAAAACAATTGAATGCTTTTAGAATACTTTAAATAAATTAACTTGTTATTTTTCATTTTTACAAAATACCTAAATACGAATAAGGATACTGTCAAAGAACACTCTTTATTTTTTGGCAATTCAAAAGGTTGTAGAAGACTAATTAAATAATAGTATTAAGTGTATAACTTCCATATTCAATTAAAACCTTGGAATCGAACACAAAGACGTACACATTCAAAGAAATAAAAATAAGCCGAGAGCTAATGGCTTGAATAAAAACCTCTGATCTTTGCGTATCGCTTAAAAAGCATTTCTATTTCGGCGAGTCCGCGTCGGTGAGAGCGAACGTATTGCAAGCGCGTATGCTCGGATCCTATAGCATTCAGTCAACGCGCATATCCCCTAAACCTAACACGTACAAACTCGCCATTGAACGATAAACTTGACATTCAAAATATCCGTTAAAGTTTACCGGTCGCGTAAGTTTTTTGTCGAACTCGTCACGTGTGTGTGTGTAGTGTTTTCTTCACAATTTATCGATACAATTAAAAAAATCGATGCCTTCCAGTAACGATTGGATGTGACAACATTTTGCGGTTAACGTTTAGGTTATCTTGGTTGGATTATTTCATTTTCAAAACCTTTAAAGGTAAAGTTTAAGTAATAAGTGACAATAATACACGTTATCTTAAAATAACAACTCAATACATTGTACAACTACGAACACGAGTATTATAATATATTTATACTCGTTCATTCCAGTCTGAAGGCCACGCCATGTTGACTCAACCAATGTCATTTCTATATAGAAGTCGTATAATGGAAACAACACAATTTAACATTAAAAATAATACATATAAAAAAGTATTTTAAATTCTATGTATTCAAAAACATTCTTGTAGTAGTTATTTCACATCACAACTTAAAGTTTATTGACCTTGAACTTACAGCCGCTTGAACTGGTTTTCCGGCTCGTTTTAAAATATTGTCTGGCAAAATACACACTTGTAATAGTACCAAGAAAATCAAACCAATCGATTTAATGCATTATTAGATCTTGGATGAGAATAAACTACTTGAGTCGTTATTCGATGTTGGATGATTGATTTGATATAGCAGGTGATATCAACGTAGCAGGGAGCGAGCGCGAGAGGCCGGCGCGCTAACGTATGCGCGATACCACAATGTTTGCATTATGATAATGTCGGAACAGAGCGCGCACGCGGCGGCCGAGACCACGTGCGCATTGTGACTCTTTTGGGAGCGTATGCCGGCATACGGTGGCTAGTGACGTCAGTCGATTGTGTCGCAGCGCAGTAGACGAAGTTAATGGTGAGGACAGTCCGTGCGTGGAGTATAGTGTCGCGTGTGTATATCGGTGCGCCGATATGTTGTTGCATGGTGTGGGGGCAGTGAGCGGGCCTGTACCACGGAGGCGCTCAGGTCTCTTAGGAGCTCGATGCTGGGCTGGGGGCTGCGCGGCGGCGTGGGATGCTCGCGCCCGCCGCCCGCCGGCGCCGACTGCGAGGCGGAGGCGAGCGACAGCGACGCCCAAGGCGCGCTGCTCGCGGGCGCCGCCGCCGTGGCTCGAAGACGATACGCCGTAAAGATCAAACGGAAAACCAAGATAACCTACAGAGTAGTAAGGTACTTCACTTTATCTCTTTTAACGCCCGTCAGGATTACCTAAATGTTTATTAATATCTATTGATCTTGATCTTGACTACACATTTCAATGTGTATTTTATTGAAAAGAGTGGGTAAACACACAAAATATACTTCAACATTTGTCGAGTGTCATAATGTCAAATGCGTGATGTTTGAACTATTAATTGACAGACGTTTTCATGAATCGGACATTTTGAACATGATACATTGCATATTTAATTTTGCTGTACTGAAATTATAATATGCAGCATATCTTGCTCCCAGGAAATAAAACTGAGCAGATTGTCGTAGATTGAACACGAAGTTTTTATCGTGACTACGTAACAAGAAGCTTAGCACGATAATGTAGCGGTATCATTAAATTAAATCAACTATTTTCAAGCCTACACACAAAATGAAGACGAATGTTTTAACGTCTTAAACAGTTCGCTATGACGATTTAAATTTAGTGCGCTCGATTCTCTGAGTTCGTAAAAATCACTACACGTTGCTCATCGCGCCGGTAGACTCGACCGCGGCCGGACGATATAGTTAGACAATTGGGGTCATTCGATGAATAGCCAACGAGTCAACTCACCGCATACCTTACCTTCACAATTAGATTCATTAAAGGCAGATATGACGTCGTTATTATATTCCCCACCTTCAAATGACTAGGAATTTATTTGACATCTAACTTCAAAATATTATAGATATTTGATATGTTTTAGATTTAAGGGATTAATATATATATATATATATATATATTTAATTTGGACACATTTAAACTTTCGTGAGACGTTATTATAAACTAATATATAATATAAATGGCTAAACTTACACGGATTTGTATCTGCGCCGATTAGTTTCGAGCCCATCGGGGGCCTTTTAACAGCGTGAGTGGGACTGGTATTATTTCACCAACGCGGGTATTCCTCAATTATCATCATTTTAGGACCTTATTAAGGTTACTTTCTGAAACAAAACAAATGCTGTAATAAATAAACTGCTCGTCTTAAATTCAAATAAAACAAGGCGTGAATGTGAGAACTTACATTTATAACTAAACTAGCTGTCGCCCGCGATTTCGTCCGCGCGGAAGTAAAAAAAATATAATTAGTTGCCTTCCTCGTGACTATGATCTATATGTACGTTTATTTCGTCGAGATCCGTTCAGCCGTTCTGGAGATATCTTCAAACAGACATCCATCCATCCAAACATTCGCATTATTATATTATATTAGTAAGACATTTATTTTTTTCTTATCGCTTAACGTTTGTGTTGAATCAAATAACATAATATCAGTGCTAACGTAATCTCGTACGAGGTACGTCTGCACGAACAAAAGAGTGGCATCCGGTGGGGAATTAGCATTCCCCACGCGCCCCGGACAACAGGTATGGCAGCCGCGAGATTACACACCAGACACCTCGCTAACATTCACCTTACTAGATAAATAAAAACATATGTGTGATTATTCTTATGCTTCTCTGAAATTAAATCAGACTGTGATTAAACTTTGGTTAGGTTATATAAATAATACAAATTTTGTCTTAACAGGTTGCACTATTCTTTGACTTTGAATTGATAGATTTTTTTAAATTTGATTGGCATTGAACCGCACGCCTGCTAGTGTAGAATCTTACTAATATTATAAATCCGAAAGCTTACATGGATCGGATGGATGGATGGATGGATGTTTGTATAACGGTATCTCGAGAACTGCTGTATGGATTTCGCTGACATTGGCATACATTTAGAACATAATCTGAAAGAACACATAAGCTATTAATTAAGTTTTTTTTCAAAACCGGACGGAGTCGTGGGCGACAGCTAGTAGGAAGTAAAGACGACGATGACGGATATTAAATATAAAAGTCAAAATTGCTTGTATAAGAGTTATTGAAAATAACATCTAAATAAACATGAAATTACGTACAAATATATCTACACAATGACTTACAATTGCTTCAAGAAGCTTTACTATGGTATTATGTCCATGTCATGTTCGGAGATGAAGATAATTTATGATGTGTATGAAAAGATATTTCTCGGAATATTCAAAGCAAAGTAACAGATACGTAAACAATAGAATAATAAACTGTGAATTATAGTGCATATTATACATTATTCAGTCAAAAATTAATATTAAAGAAAAGTTTTTATATTGAACTAAATCAAAACGGATAAAACAAAGAAACAGCAATGGTTAAATTATTTCCTTGTTCTCAGGTTTTCAGATAAAACGATGGCATTTTTATATTTAATTATATCACAAATAGCTGCATAAAAATGACGTAAAACTCGTTCTTAATTAATTAAAATTCAAGATTACGAAACGACAGTATAGATTAATTATTAAAAAACTAATCTATCATACTGGAACGTTCAATATTTCTGTGGCTATAAAATGCTAATGCACTCGATTTTCCACAATTTTTACTTTTTAATTTACAGTCGTCTAATAAACAAATATATTAATTCTAATTTTAATATAGTAATATACACATAAACAAGGTTTAATAATTAAAACACGTTATATTCAGTTTTTTTTTACACAAAAAATACAGATAATTGTATATTAAGCGATTATGTATGATAGAAATAATGAAAAATAGTTATCATATTCTTCCTTTGCTAACTAAATAGAAAACTCCATTGTCACACGTCAACTGATGTGTTTCCATTATCTTACGAACGTCCACGTATCAATAAGTAGCGCTTTGCACGATTTCCAAGAAACGTACAGTAATGAACTGAAATAATCTGAGTGTGTTGCTCTTTTAGCTTCTACTCGAATAGACAGAAATAGTGATCCAGTTCGATTTTATATTTAATAAGAACCAATCGTCATCTATTACTCTTTATGATAGAATACAATTGACGCAGGCTCTTACAATGAAGTTGTGATGTACAATTATTGACAAATTTTACTAATATTATAAATGTGAAAGTTTAGATGGACGGATGTTTGTTTGAATATCCGGAACGGCTCAACGGATTTTGATGAAATTTGGCACACACGTAGAACATAGGCTGGAAGAACACATAGGCTACTTATTAAGTTTAAAAAAAAAACTTAAACGCGGCAGCTTAATGTAAAGTATTAGCAGATTTTTTTTTGTAAATTTACTAATATTTCTTTTACCATTCCAACTAAGCTCTAGGCTTGTACTAGAATATGGTTTACGACAATAGTCGAATGGCGGGATTCGAAACCCCGACCTCATGATCGGAAATCCGTACCCTTAACCATTAGGCTATTGACGCTTTAATAATAATGTGCAGTGTTAGCTTTTCATTTAATATAATTAATTAATTAATTACATAGTTAATACTGTATAGTGTAATTATTAGTTGTAATAATTGCTCTTTTATTAATTAATTTAATAACTTTTAGCTTGTATAACGCACAGTTAATTGTAGTTGTGCATACGTTGTTACTGTAATTTGTTGTTAATAGTTACATGAACTAGATATAGAAACTAGAGTATAGATTTTTCATATTAAATATACAGTAAGTAGCTCCCTTAGTGACCACTTAACCAGTCTTAATGCTGCATTATTAAATTAATTTAAACAGCTAATAGACATTATCAATCACGACACAAGATCTAAAGCATATTACAAACATTACAGATACCCCAAAGATCGCGATTAAATCAAATCTTTTCTTAAGCCTGTTGATCCCCACAACCTTACAAAAAGGATCAAGATAGATAAATAGGTCTGTGTCAGCGTTATATAATACTTTTAGACATTATTAGTTAGAATTCTTTAGTGTGAAAGGCGCGCTTTCGATACCAAGTTAGTTGTCCAATTGATTAGTGAGGGGACATAAACGTTGACATTTTAATAAGGCTAGTGTTGCGCCAATACATCAGCACAGTGTCGGATTTTGTTCCTAACAATACATTACAAAAATATAATACATAAAATGAACCGACGACCTCCTTAAATGATTGCTTTTAAATTACCGAGTCGGCGCTTAATTTACAATAAATATTCAGCGATAATGTCTTATTTATTAAAGTTTTACGATCTCTTTACGGCCCATAAAGTGTTCGTTAACTAACATTTTGTGATGGTTTAATTTCATTAGGTTAAAAAATTATAATCTACGTTAATATGTGTTAATAGTAATATACTGGTAATACCGTAGTTACAAAATTTAATAATCTTTGGTATTGATCGACTGTATATTTGGTTTTAGTACTTATTTTGTATATATAACAATTTCTTATTTTGATACTAATAACCTTTTCAATATGATAAAAAAATTCGGAATGAATAATGAATAAAAAAGGATAACATTTGAAAGTTTATACCGAATTTAATTTTTTAGAGACGGTTGAAGTTATAGGATTATCCGCATCCTCAACGTTTTATTTTACATATTTCCATGTGATTTTTATGTTTATATTCTGCATACATCCAGTGGAGAGTAGTTGATGTCGAGTGAATGGCGTCGGTGCTCTGTGACGTCATCCGACATGATTGGAAATTAAATTGTACCGCCAATCAAGAGCCCGTGCTATTGAGTTGTTCGTATTCGAAATTTGGGAATATTGAAGCACTCCACTCGTATATACTTCTGCACTTATATATAGTGCTTACTAATTAATCTCTGGAGGCGGAGGTGAGGTTATACAGGGTAGTTTTGTAATTACCAGAAAATCAGGTAATGTAGAATACTTATACAATCCTAAATGTTTGGTCATTATTTTTTTTACTCAACAATGATTAAGTTATAATTTTTTTTTAAATCCTATAGTAAAATGACACACAATAATTTTTACAAACAAAATACTACGAGGCCTTTCAACATTGAAATCGGCTATGCCCAAGCGGGTGAAGTGAGTGCGCAGGGAGTAGTCTTTGCGGCTTTTGATGAATAGAACAAGAAGGAAACTATTATAACAAGGTAATTTTTAGATGTTGACTTTCATTAATTTTCATGATGTTTAAATATGATTAGTATCAGCAATAGGATTTTTTT